CCTTGCTTTAGCCAACTCTACTAATCTATTAGCTTCCGCATCATCTTTCTCATCACTAAACCATATTTCAACTGTGTCCATTTTTTAAATTTAATAATAAAAGCAATTATTTTAAAAATGATGTAAATAAAACACTCAAGAAACAAATGTAAACAAACAAACAGCTGTTTACAATTCTGTCAACCATTCATAATAGTACAAATTTTTATCGATCAAGTTACACAATAGCAAAATAAAAGATGATCGACTCGATCGACAAATTTCTATTCTACTGCCAGTCGACACTCGCAATAGGGGTGTCAGTTTGCTTGCAACAGTCAAACGAGTAGGTTGACGCCGCATATTTATGCGTGAAACAGTGGGCAAAAATTGATGTGTATGAATTTTTTTATAATGTTTCAGACTGGGTGGGAAATTGAATTTTTTTTTATTTTAAACAGTGCTGAGAAGCCACAATGCTTGATTTGCTCAAAAGCACTAAATTTTATTAAAGAGCAGAGTTTAAAGCGGCATTTTTTAGTTTTCCACTCGAGTGTAAATGATTTGAGCCCGGAAGACCGAATGATAAAATTTTTCGAATCCAAACTTGCTTATATGGAAAGTATACAAGAAAATGTACCGGATGACGATTTTAATGAAGCTCGCTTAAAAGCATCAATCGTAGTAAGCGGTGCTTTGGCTAAAAAAGGGAGGCCATTAGAGGATGGTTTTTTTTTTTAAGAGCTAGCGGTGGCGGTGCTTGGTTGTTTCGGACAAAAAGGTGTAGAGCTGGCGAAAATTGTAAACGATATACCTTTGTCCAGCCGAACAATTACTCGTCGCATCGAAGATATTTCAAAATTTATATATCTTAACCTTAAAAGAAATATAATTAAATCTAAATTTTATGCCATTGCATTAGACGAAAGTACAGATGTTTGTGATGTAAGTCAGCTTATTGTTTGCATTAGAATTGTAGATGACGAATTTAATATACAGGAGGATATGCTGTGCTTGCGGGGACTGCACAACAACGCTACTGGAAAAAATATATATGAAATTGTCGAACAGCAGTTGTTCTCATTTGCTGAGAAAAATAAACTGTCATCAATTTACACAGACGGTGCTCCAGTTATGACTGGAAAAAGGGAAGATTTCGTTGGTCAGCTCATACGCAATGGCGTTAATGTGCCAGTTTTTCATTGTATGCTGCATCAACAGCAATTATTAGCAAAAAGTTTCAAAATAAGACAAACAATGCAAGTTGCAGTTAAAATTATCAAACGAATTCGTGGAGGACATAACGCCATAACTCATCGAAAATTTCGTTCGTTTTTGGAAGAAAGAGATGCCGACTTTGGTGATATTTTATTGTATACTGAGGTTTGATGGCTCAGTAAGGCAAAATGCCTTGAAAGACTTTTTAATTTAAGAGAAGAAATTATCATTTTTTTTTGCAGAAGATCCTTCGACGGAAATAAAAGAAATTGTTATGAATTTAAGGAATCCAGATTTTTTGTTAGACCTCGCTTTGCTTTGTGACATTTCAACCTTTTTATTCCCAATTAAATCTAAGCATGCAAGGAAAATATAAATTCATTTTTGATTTCATTGCATCAATGGAAACTTTCAAAAAACGCCTACATATCATAATAAATGAAATCCGTGAGGGGGTTTTGGATCATTTCAAATACACCAAAGAGATTTGTGACTGCTTTCAAATGCAAGGCAAGCTTTCCCAATATTCCGAAGCCTTCTCTGACCTAGAACAAAATTTAGACGTTACACTTAAGGACTTTAGTTGTATTCAACCTTTAAATGACCTCTACAATAATCCTTTAATTTGCAAAATTGAAGACCAAGAAACACGCTTTCAAGAAGAATTAAGAAGGCTCCAAACTGATTTAGACCTTCCTTTAGAGC